TTGATAAATACATTCAATAATGTAAATATAATACATTAAACCTTTAGTGGCAATTATATTGACAGTTATAACACCTAACGTACTTTTCTTATTTGTCATTGTATAAAAGAAGAAAACATTTCTCATTTGTTAATAAATAACATTCTTTTTGGTAATGACATGTGAAAGTAATTAAAAGAATTGAATTAGCAGCTCAATGGTTAACTAACACCCAGCTCTATCGTGGACATGCAATACTTTTTTTGATTTAGATGAAATGAATTTTAGATTGGTTGGGAGTTTTTGCATAAGGAAAGGAATATTATATTAGTGTAGGCGTGATAAACTTGTTAGCAAAAGTGATTATTTAAACCGAAAAGCATATGAGGCAGTGATGATGAGGAAAAGAAACTCAAGTGGACACAAATTTGAAGCTTGCAAGTAAGAACTAGTCTAGCATCTCATTTGGGCAAGTTTTGATACGTTGGCTTCTTTTCACAACTTTTTTCTGAATTGAACTAAGCAATTCTTATCTCAAAAGCCAGGACATGAGCCCAACTTTAAGAAACATGCAATCAACTACTCACTTCTCTTTCTCTCTAAATTAAACATATATATTCAACCATGTGCCTAGGCATGTGCAAAGCGTTGCCACCACCATTTCCTCCTATGCCAATTTAATTTCATCTGATTAAGTAGAATAAGGGTTGTTGACTTAAATTCAAATATGCACTTATAACACATTAGACTCAAATATTGTACATAGTTAACCATGTCAAATGATAGCAACTCCTAATAGCTTGGACATGGCGAAACAAAATTGAAGAATCCCCGCAAGCAAACACATATTTCATATATATGTTAGTTGAGTTGTTGGGTGAGTGTCATGAATCTTCCTCCAATTTCACTTTTCCTTTTGAAACATGAGCTATTCTGACAAAACCAATTGTTAGCATGCAGATTAAACAGTAGCTACAGCTAGACCTAGCTAGAGAGAATGTATGTAACACACAGATGTACACTTTCTTCTTTCATTTTTCACTTTCCCCTTTTGGTACTTTCTCCTTACCACCTATGTGAGTGAAGATGCCACTATGATGAGAGCCTCTGTGCACTGCCTAACTTTCTTGCTGTGTATTTCTATGGCATCAACATGCACCACTTTTCTACTAGTTCCACCATAATTGCATATGAAGTATCAAGTAGAGGAATGGAGTTAGAAGCCACAAGGGAGCAGAATTATTCCTCAAGAAAGAGAGTGATTTAAGATTCGGTTTGTTAAAAACAAGGGGTAAAAGAAAAGGTTGTTCCCCCAATGTTGCTTTAGTTGGACATCATGCTCCCTTTTTCTTATATTATTTATTTCATCATTTTTTTTTGTCACATTGCACTTTGTGTGTGGCTTAAGCATGTAGATTTCATCTCGTCCTTTCTTTCAAAAATACAAGAAGACACTATGGGAATAAGAGGTGGGCCTCGTGTGTTGAGCCCCCAATAGTTGCACCTTTGTGTTGGCCCTAAAGATCAAACCTACTTAACATTTCATTTAATTGTTCCCCTTAATGACCAACATGCCCTTCTTTCCATACCAAACTGGTTTCCAACCTTGGGATTTTATCAAACCCAATAAAGGTCACTTGTTTAACTATCTTTCTCTCACTTTGTGCATTTTATTTTACAACCATGCTAGTAAATATTACAAGCATTCCATATGTGTTGTTTCTTCTATGCTATGTGTCTAATAAGTGGGAAATTAAACATTTGATTGCACCCATGTTAGCTTGTCTTTGCCTGAGTTTTATCCTTTTGAAAGAATTGCTTTCCGTGTGGGGGAAACATGGAGTGATTTTTATGGAAATTGATGTCAACATTTCACTGGTGGACACTGATTTCAGCTAAATGACCTTTTTATAAATTATAATTTACAAGACAAATATTAGTTCTTAAGTGTGATCTCAATCTCTGCACTTCCAAAAGTAATTTTCTAGTGATTGTTTGTAGTATTGTGCACTTCATTTTCCTTGCACTTGTGTCTTCTTATTATAGCATTAATCTTATCCACACGATTTGTTTTTCACAAAATAAACCATTTGTATTTTGATCATAAGAGAAGCAGACACTTTGTGTACATTGCATTTTGGTAATTGATAATTCAAAAACTTGTTAATTCAAAGGTTATTGGCAATTCCATTTGCATTTTGATCATAGGAGAAATAGAGACTTCGCTTTTGTTATTTGTATTTAAAAAGAAAAAGTAGTACCATTCTAATGTACACTTTTCTATATCTTGTTAAGCAAACAATACAATACATGAAATAAAAATATTTATATTTTCTATTTTATAAATCATGCAAAAATTAACATATTTTATCTTTAATAATTTTATTAAGACTGAGGAAAAAGGGCCATGAGTTCAATAATGGGGAAATTAATTTTAGTTACTCAGCAAAAAGCAACGCATATCCTTCACAAACGAAAAGAAAATTCTATACAATGACATGGTATTTACTTGGAATGACAAAGATTCATTCCTCCAGAGGGTATTTGAGATTGGTGTGCGACTCAAGCTAAAAATCTCAATTACCTCAAAACCTAATTGAACCATGTAAAGCCTTGAATAAACTGTGTATATTTCATGTAATTTTTTTTTTGGTAAAGAGTATTTCATGTAATTAATTCTTTATATATATATATATATATATATTAAGATCAGCTGATAATGTGACCAAGGATATGTTAGTTGAGACACCAGACGTGGAAGTCACTATATAACAACCTAAACCATACAACGTTTTTGACTTAGTTTCAAACTGGCTTAATTTGCTGGAGAACTCTGTGCATGCATATAACAAACTTAAATTATTACTACTAATATTAGCACACTAATCCCTAAATATTACTACTAGTATTAAGATGTTGGCATATTACTATGTAAGTTACAGTGTAAAACTATTTTACATTATAATATGTCAATATTAAACTCAAAAAAAAATCATTAAATAACAAGTTTTTATAAAGAATAATAAAATGTTACACTTTTTTATAATTAGAGGCTTTTAGCCAGATTCGTGATTAGCATTTCATTGTTATTAATCCCATTAGAAATGTTATGAAACAGACTCTTATTATCACAATTTAGATTATATATTAGTTATAATTTATTATAAATCATAAAATAGATATACTTTTATTTAACAAAGCTTACTCATAGTTTTATAATTATCGATAGCAAAAAGTGTATCTAATACTCCTCGTATTGTTGTTATCAAATGATTTCTAATTTTTTTAAACAATTAATGGTTTGGATAACACTAAGTTTTTGGTTTGCACTAAGGTATCATTTAATCGATGGTCAAAAACTATTTTTTTAGACATGAAAATCACTCAATTACAAAGATATTAAGATATTCTCTAATTGATGTATGCTATTGGTATAAAAATAAATACTTCTTCCCGTCGTATTATTGTGAATAAATTACTTTTATTTGATTTTAGTAGGCGCACGTATTAAAGGAGACGTGTGTAGTTATAAAACGAGGTGGCAGGTACAAGTACAACTATAGATAGATAGGTATGTTTGCACTTTGCACATTGATGCCTACAAAAGTGCTAGTGTTTACGAGGTGTCTTCTCTACTAATAATAAAGTACCTTATTTTATTTTATTATTCTGGTTAAGAACTTGTCCTTTTTTTCTTTTTCTCTCCTCACTTTTTTCATTTTTTTCCCCTTTGCATTCTGGTAATTAGTTTGTGAAGTTTAAAAAATGACTTTAGAAACTAGTTTTTAAAATAAGAGAAGACGTGAAGAGAGGGGGAAAAAAAGGAAGTTTGGAACCCTGAGAAACAATTTAGCAAAAAAATTATTTTGAGAAACTCAATTTTTTTTTCCTCTCACGTAACTCTTTTTCACACCCACAAAGAGTATTTTCGTCTCTTGTATCCACTTTTCAATCAAAATTTATTTATAGACACACATGATAATGATTATCTTTGATTAATTTTAACTTCTAGTTACCCTCATTTCATTTGTTTATAACTATTTTAGTTTCTCACCAACTATATTCTTACCCTTAAATGATCACTATCCTAATGATAGTCATACACCTCATGTTATAGGCTGAAATATATTCCAATTCATGTGGATTTGATTTCAGAGAGTTTCACGTTCAACATACCCTTTTCTTGTCTTATTTTTTCTTCCATCTGACTTAATCTACATTACATATGCATTTATGAAACATGCATGTATACATATGTATTTGGATTCATTCTTTGTTGGACATAATGTTTATATTTTGTTGTTACCTTAATGATTTTACATTCATACGTGCGAGCACACACACTATTTTAAACAATTATATTTAAGAGATTTAAATATTAGAAACTAGATTATCATTTCTTTATTTATTTTTTATTAACATGTCTTAATAAATCAAAGTATTTAAATTTAACACTTTAAGAAATGCTAACATAAAAAAAAATCATTATTTCTTATTGGAAAATATCACTGGAATATATATATACATATATATATATATATATAGAGAGAGAGAGAGAGAGAGGAGGCGTGGGGGAGGAGGAAGATGTTTGTTTCTTTATATTAACATTAATACATAGAAATTTAAACAAGAACTAGTATTATTTATTTCATAATTGTAACAAAAATTTAGGATGTTATTTTTTTTTTTTTACAATTAAATTCAAATAGGCACTAGCCTCATATTCGAATAAGCACATAATTCTAACTGTATACTTCTTTAATTATACTATTTAATTATACATAATATTAATATTATAGTATTATGCTAACATCTAACTAGTCGGATTAACTCAATTTTGCAACATATATTATCGGATCTTAATCTGATCAAGTTACACTCAAAAGAATGATTTGTACTGTAATTGAACCATGCACTAGATCTAATATACATGCACGTCCAATATATGAACTAACATTACCTTAGTTGTAATTGTGACACTGAAGTTTTCACAAAGCTTGTATCACCACTTAACAACAACATTGATCTCAACGAGAGTAAAAGATGATATGATATTTAATCGATCGAATTCTTACAAGTACAATAATGTGTATTGAGAAGTAAAGAGGCAGAAAGCAAAACTTAATCATTTGGATTACAGTCCACGGTTCAAAGTTCCAGATACAGGAACCGTATACACTTGCTAATAATAATTAAATGAAAAGTGAATAAGCTCACCAAAGTTTTACTAGAATGAATATTATGATTTATGGAAATAAACTGGTTGTGTTCTATACTAGAGCTAGATTTTTCTAGCTTTCTCTTTTCAGATCCCCACAGGAATGCACTTGCAATGTAAGAGCAGAAGAAAATTATTGAAAGAATGATACTTGAGTGATTTATCACTTGAAAACCAGATTATGGCAGGTTTTGTCACAAGGGTAAGCGCAACCAATGGCTTGGACTCTAACTCGGTCAAAATACCAGTTCCCAACAGACTCTGCGATCCCCTGCTTGTATTTTTAGATAATCATTAGAAGGGTGAGATCATGGAACCCTACAACTACAAGCAAAATACAACAAAACCGAAAGTTAAAAAGAAACATTAAACAATGAATTTTGCCACTTCATGAGTTTGATGTGAACAAGGAAACATTTCCTCAACTTCTAATTTAAATAGTTAAGCTTTCATGTTATAAGGCATCCTATTAGGAATATAACACTTGTACTTTTTGGCACCTTCATTTCGAACATGAAATTTACAAGACTGGACATATTTGTGAGTGGTCCAATAACGGCTTGATAATAGATGACCTTATAAGTCCAACAACAATCAATAATTGTTAGAATAGACTTTGATACTATATTAAAATATGGGTTTAAATTAACTTTTAAGGTAAAAATTGTTCTTCACATTAAGATAAGCTTCGATACTATATTAGAATATGGGTTTAACTCAACTTTTAAGATAAAAATTGTTCTCCGCTTATACATACTAATTTGGCCATATCACTAATCGATATAAAATTTTTAATATACTCCTCTCACGTTGAAGACTATATATACGCACATAAATAACATATTATGGAGAAGTAAAAATCTACTGTATTGATATCCAATCAACATTTCAGCAATAACAGCTATAACTTAACATTTTCACTCACTTAGGACATATTAAATCCTAAGTTCCTTGTCGTCACTCAAATGAACCAATTACAGTGTAAGTCTTCCTTAGAAGTGATGAAACCAACATAATGAATTTACAATATTAGTTAGAAAAGACGTACTCTATTTCCAATGCGAGGAGAATTGCTAGCAAACCACGTATCCTGTCTTTCTGATTGGCAATGAGCGAAACATGAATTTATGAATAGCCCGTTTTTGTAAGACCTTGAGAAGCCTCTTGTAGCTCTAAGCATCTGATTTCGAAAACCTACTTCGTTCATAGTTGATGATAATTAGTAACCATATTGAGAACAATTGAAATCATGAAAATGATACTCAAGATGCAGGTAAAAACTGAAAACAACTCTTGACATTTATAATTAATTACCTTGAAGATACTGTAACTGTGGTGCACTGCAACGTGCATAATTTTTTCTGCATTCAAACCAGTTCCATCGGTAGTCAGCAGATGGTGGAGCAAGACTGGCTTGAACCTGAAAAAAGTGGAAGCAATCATCTATATTAGTTTCCAAGCCAGGAATCTGATGCATGTTCATCACACTTTACAATAACGGCTAACAACCAGTGACATGAAATTCCACGCCAATCCAAAGTCATCCACAAACCATACTCTACAACTCATGGGATAAATTTCATAACATGCAAGACTTAAGATGGTGATTATTGACTTAAAGGAACAGTGACTTTTTTTTTTTTTGGATCTGAAACAGTTGCCATTTTTACTTTCATTCGCATGCTCTCATTCACATGCTCTACCTGACACAGGTATTCACTGATTTCAGAAAAATTGTGGATGGAATTTACCTGCCAAGTATCATAAGCTGCATTGAGAAGAAACAGTGGTGTCCTAACACTGGCAATTAAGTGCTGAGGAAAATAGCACTGTGAATAGAATACCAAAAAGAAAAATATGAGATGCCTCTGCATCGAAGATAATAATAATAATAACAACAATACTAATATTCCATCTGCAAATTATGCCCATTTTAACAAAATATATCTCCTCTCAAGATCAAAATTACAATTTGATTATAGTCATACTAGTTGTGTAATTTTACAATCTTAAATGACAGTAAAAGTAGTTACCAAAATTGGATTGAGGCGACTGGTACAACTCCTTGGAAGGCTCTTTTGAACTCCCTGCCAAGCAAAGATACATTATTAATTTTAGATTTTTGTTGTTGTAGTACATGCATGCCTTGCTAACAATCAAGTAATCAGAAGTTATTGAAATCACCCTGCCATGAAATTGAAATAAATTTCCACAATACGGTGATTATCCAATTACAAGGCATTATTACATATTTATATCTTTACTGTTCCTTTCTTCAATTGGAGGAGCAAAGCTAAAGTCTCAAATTGATCGGTCGGTATAAATTCCCATAGAATCATATGATATTATTATTGATTGTTCTCATATTCAGTAATGAAGAAACTCAGATTTCTGATTTACACTTTAGTAGCGGATTTTGTATATGCTATGTTGTTATGGTTGTACTAAGGCAATAAAAGATTTTTTCCAACATACAACCAATTTGAGACAGCCTCTTAACCACCATTAAAATTTGTTATTATTTGTGGTTCAGGTCTGAGAAATGATTGTTTGAGCCTAGTTCATCACTTTTTTTTTCTTCCATCAAGTTAACTGATTCACCATATTTTACAATATCTATTAGTAAATAGAATCAGAAGACAGCATCAAGAAACATTCAAATGAGAAAAGACCTGTAAGGTCACCACACTTCCAAACAAATTCCTTAAGCTGCGACGGCCAGATACATCAACGCTGCAATAATTCAATTCCAGATGATTATTGTCTCTAAAAGTATATGAACTAATCTGAACTAAGATGTATGATCAGATCCAATAAATAATAGATTGGAATTGAAAGTTCAATGGATGATGTTTACGAATCAAGGAATAATCCAGCATCACTTAAGCATTTAACTCTTGTGGTTCTAGGAAACAATTCCCTAAATTCATCACAATGTATAATAGAAGCTAATCCTCCTGCAGAACATCCGGATAGAAGAGCCTGAAAAAGAAAACATAGATGCTATGAAACAGAAATCAGGCAGCCAATTTTTTTCCTGAAATTATCAGAGGGAAACCTGTTTGGCATAGCGCATCCCTTTTGACATCAAATCTTCCATAGCAGCTTGCCAAATGCGTTGCCCTCTGAAATACAACCCTGCTCTCTGTGGAGCAAAGATGAATTCAGTATTAATTCAACCACATTCACCATCAACCCAAATAAACAGTGTTAAAGGATGAGACTTTTAGATAAACACTTGAATGAAGTAGTAGTCTTGATTTGATAAAATTTAAATTCACATCAAATAAATTGACCCAATAAAGTATTGAAATAAAGGAATAAAAATATTATAAGACAGGTAAAATCATTAGGAGAAAAAAAAAACAAAGAATAGCATTCCATAAGGGATAACTAGTAAAATAACTAGTAAAATCATTATGATATGAGAATAGAAAAATGAAAGGACAACTTTAGCTTCATTCAATGACAACGTGATTTTTTTCTTTTTTTCATTTTGGATAATGATAAGCAGCAAAATGCAAACAAATTTTGCAAATCCTACTGAACAGAATGTATGATTTCTGGAGGAAGTTAATGTTGGAAAGAACTTGCATCCCGTCTTACCACATTTTGACTGTTCCCACTAAATGATGCACCGTCACAATAACGGATTTTTATTCTATTCCAATTGAAAAAATCTGAAAATGTAATCATCCAAAAGAAAGATGAAGTTAATTTCTATTTAAAAATGAAGGGTAATAAGCATACACAGGAATAAACATGTGTTTTAAGCATATACTTGTTTAATGGAAAAAAGAAATAGCAATGGCGTGTTGAGTCTGAGAGTCATAAGTTATAACCTGGATTTTCCTCAGCTTTGTTGCTCAATATCCCAATAAATGGTATTTGTTTTTCCATATACAATGATGAACCATGACGTGTTTTCTTACTATAAACACAATTTTTAATAGTTCCACACCAGCCTCCTCCCTGCACCAAAAGTTTTAGTGACACTATTACGACTAAACAGATATGCAGGATGTTACAAGAAAGTTAGAAATTCACTGCACAAGGTTATATTCTCCTCTTTTTCATATTTAAGAAGTGTTTCATATATATCATGCCCATCAGGTCAAACAGGAATTTTATATAACTTTCCGTTTCCCTATATTTTACATCAATACACTATTTATACCAAATTGCAGTAGCATAGTAAATGCTTAGGCTACCATTACCCATTACCAAAGTTTCATTATAATTGATTATCAATTTATCACAACACAACATCACAATGCTACATCCTGTAACTCCAAATGATATACGAAAGAACCTTACAGAATTTCTAATAGGTTGTAGTCTTGTAGATTAGAATGAGTATTGGTTGAAATTTCTCATTCCAACAACAAATTATGTTAGGTTTAGTGCCATAATCATATCTAACACATCACCGAGGGCATTATCCAACAAGACTTAGAAAGGTAATTTGTTTTTCCTGTGCATTGATTTTCAGGTGGATTAACAATAGGTTCATAATTTACTTGCATGAAAGGGTATAAGAAGGATAACAAAACAAATTAGTTCCATGTCATAAAACTAAATCACCAATAAGGATCTTGACATCTCTATACACCGTCTCTCTGACTCCAAATACATTGTATATTATAACTGAACAAGCCGTGTTGTTTCTGACTTTACCAACCTATATAGGGGAATATTGGATGCAACTTGTCATTAACTTGAACTAAAAAGAGTTAAGTGTGCTTAGGTGTCAATTTCAGATTGATTAGCATAGCCATTCTATTGTGAAAGGATGATTGTAGTTAGCAACAACAGAACAACTATTGTGCCCTGTCATTGGTGAACTTAGTTCAAAGTTCAGGAGTCTCACATACCTCCAATTGTATGAGCCAACTGTTTGATCCTGAACCATATCCACGGTGGAAGTGGTAACCTGGTAAAGATCCATCCAGGCAAACTGCACAAAAGTACAAAAAATCACGCTAAATGATAATGAGAAATTATCTGATAACTTTTTTTATGTGTTTTGCAGCTGTCATCTGCATAATGATTCTAAATTCTAAAAGGGCCCACCTCACAAGCAATGTCAACCATGTAATCTACAAAAGTTTGATTAGATATCATATGTCTAGATCTCAATCAAAGCCAGGAAAAATAACTAATAGCAGTGCTTTAGAAACATAGAACACATTTCTTCATCATTCTCAATGGTTAGTTCATGGAGGAGCAAAGCAGGCACAATGCCATAAATTGATATCCAGTATCCACAAAGCACATATAATTCCAAATGGGACAAATAACATGCTTTGAAAAAGACACCAAATTAACGAAACAACTACTGGAGTCTGGAGACCTCATTTATGTGATCTAGCTAATCACAAAAGTGGCATTAAAATCAGAATAAATGACTTGAACAAACTCCATTAGAAAGGTGACATTAATGCAAAGAATGGAGGCATGGGTAGAACTCAGAAGAAATGAATACCAGCTCCTTTAGCAGCAGCACCATTAATAAGAGTAAGACCAACCAGCAAAGGTCTGTTGTAGTAACCTCTTCCACTGACATATTGCACGTCCATGTCTGTCACATTAGCATTCTCAAAGCCTTCCACCCATTTCACAACCACCAACCCCACAAACACAAACATCCTCAGCAGCTTCATGCCTCCACCACACTTGCTTCTTTGGCACATTGCCAACACAATGGGGGCAACTAAAAGGGTTGCTTCACCAGAATCCTTAACTTAAAGCATGAAAAGGAGAGTGCAGTACTAAGAGTTGGAGGGAAAGAAGAGAGGTCGGAGAACAAGCATATTCTTTTGGGGGGATTAAAAAAGGAAACTTTTATTCAACAGGGTGTGGAGTTGTCAAAGTTGAGTCACACACAGAATGGCAAGTGATAAATGAGCAAGTTTTCTACTTTTCTAATAAATTACCAATGAATGCAGCAACAATAGCTGTAATAATGTAACACACCGTACAAGGGCTTAAAGAGTGGACACATTTTTTAGGACTAACATGAATAAATGCAAATGATAAACAGCAAAGTCGTATAAAGCATGCAAGCAAAACAGAAATGGAAGGGTATTTAGAGATTAAATAATGGCACCACATGGATGAAATGAAAAAGGATGGATAATGAATGAGTGGGGGAAGTAAAGTTGTAATTTGGAAAATGAAAGAGAAAGAGTTAAGCAATGTGGCACCGACATGAAACATGAGAGGAGGAGCTGTACCTCACTGCCATCACTCTCACATAGTTCAAAACTCAGTCTGGGCCCTCTCATCTCATCTCATGTTTTGTGCAAAATAATGAACCTACATTCCACACAAATTATTGCATCATTCAACACACCACTAGGCATGCTAATATTTAATCACATGACTTTTATTATCTCTTTTCTTTCTAAATTTAATGGCCATTAAGAGAAGATTGAATGACATAATCATTATAGGGAAGTTTAGACCTTGTTCTGTTCCTTTTATTTTAAAAAATGAAATAAAATTAAAAAAATAAATAAATAAACGTATCCTTATAATAATCCATTTTAAAATGTGAGTATGTGACCACCTAGGGTAGCCAACACCTTGTTCTGTACCTTTTATTTTGGTGCTTCCATTTTTGTGAGTGATTTTTTTTTTCCGGGACCACAATCGAGCAAGACATCAAATAATATTATAATAAGATTCTTTTGTTTTTTCAAATTTATAACACGTTGGTATTTTAGGAACTCAAATTTGAGATGTCTCTGGTTAAATTGGAAAATCATCTTCAATGGTTAAGATTTTTTTTGCTTTGGATTTCACATTTATGTAAGGAAAAAAAACTTCGATGAATGATAAATTTGTTTTATTTGTATTCCTCTAATATAATGAATTATTATTTTTGTCCCTCACATGATTTTAAAGTAAATAAATAATATTTATTTTAAATACTTGTATAAAAGTAGACATACTAACATGTTACATAATATCATTAACACTGTGGATAACAACTAAGATAATTACTTAACCCTTTAATAAATAAATTAGTAATTCAAAATAATTATATAATAATAAGATTAAAAATAATATTTTTAAATTTTAGAGAAATAAAAATTAAAATTTACTTATTTTCAAGAATTAAAAATATATTTAAACATTTGATAATTTATTAAATATTTTATATAGATTTAATTATTATAAGTTTTCAGTAGATTGGTGAGTCCTTTTGATCGCATATGTATTATTGCATTTGTTGATTTGGTAGAGAAGATCTTAGAAAGGCAATGTATTACCACAGAAAGGCCAGAGACAGAGACATAAATGGAAACAAAGATGAGAGAAATTAAATAAATAAATAACGAAGAAAAGAGAATTATGTTAATTTTTTTAAATATTAATCGACTATGTTACATGCAAACACAGCGAACAAAATTAATTACATAGCTACTTATAAAATCACTTATGTCACTTCTGTACATGTTCTTCAAAGTCACACAAAAATTAAAAATTTCTTCTATTATTTTATTTTTCTCTACTAAACACACTGTCCTCTTATATTCATTCACTTATCGGGGCTACTAAACATAATGTTAAATTGGAAATGATCTCATGAATACATTTTACAATTTTTTTATTTTTTTCCTCTACTCTTAATTATTAACAACTTGCTGGTTTTTATTTTTAATTAAAATATTTAAAATTTATTTATTAATTAAATAAATTGTTTTTTATCGGTAAAAAATATTACGATATCAACAACAAAATTCAAATTAAAGACATTATATATATTATTCTAACTTTTGTACTTTAAGCTAGTTTTATTGGAGCTTTAGATATGTCTGTGTGACTAAACTTCATAAATAAATTTAAAAAATGAGAAGACAGTTATCCAATTTAACGTAGACAAAATTTCTAGACTGAAAAATGGCCTAGTATTTGATTTTGTGCATATTTGGGTTTCAATGCAAACGTGAATTCTCACGTTTAGTTGAACGTAAAATCCATCTTTAACGTAGAAAAAGGGTGTAAAATCAAATTTGAAAATTCAATCCAAACATGCACTTTATATACGTTTCAAAATTTCATTCATGATTTTCCACATTGTAAGTGTAATTTTCGTAAGTGAATAGTAGTAACTTCCATATCGCATGTAATTGCTTCATTCTCAATGAATTTTCATATACACTGTAAACTTTTCTCCATGCATCATTTTTCTTATAAAAGAATAATTAATAATAAAAAGTTCCGATGAGACACACTTTTTTTTTTAATTACAATCGTATAAGGATTGCACCTCTATGAGTAAGTTACTTTTTTCAACAACCCAGGTAGTAATGGGATAAAAAATAAATATGATAATAAACTTGTTAACACAAAATAATATGTATATATTTACGCAACCTTAATAAAATGCGAAAACTTAGAATTTATTAAATGAAATATTCTATATTATCCTACTCGATTAATTTCTTAGATTAAAAAATCTATTTTTCACATATGAATTAACTTATAAAAAATCCCAAACATTTTCTTAAAAAAATTATATAAAAAAAAAACTTTCAGAGTCACGTGAATAGCATTTGCCAGACCGCCTCTTTACTATTTAGCATTAATTAATGAATCAATCGGCGATAAATGCGGTACATGAATGAATATTAAAAAAATGGGCCCACATATTTTCCTCCTCTGCATTGCACAGCCCAAAGAGAAAGTCCATAATAATTTGAAAAGTACTATTTATATATTTTCATTAAAAAAATAGAAAAAAACAAGATATATGTTAATATAACAAAAAAATAATGCTATAAAAATTTTATATATGAATTATATAATTTCAATAATTTTAATTTATAACATCCCCTATCATATCACTAAATCATGTTATATTTTATCACATGTAAAATTTTTCATTTAAAAAAAATTATACATTGTTATATAATCAAAAACTATCATTTAATTAAATTTTCTACTTAATAATAATAAAAGAATATATCAAAAATAATATCATATTGATTGACGGTGTTGGTGTGTGATCATTAATTATATATATATATATATGTATGTATGTATTTTACTATATTATAACATCTAAAGTATATAATTGTCAGAGATCCCATCTAGTTCTCACCTGAAATCATTTGTGATCTGAACATGGGAATAATTTGAATTATATATTTTTGGCCTTGCAAAACATGTAATGGTTGACAATAATGTTTACAAACAAAAAAGTTTCGAGAATCATGACAAAGTACATCAAAGATGGGTTAGTTGAGACTTGAGAGAAATTATACGGATCAAAATTCAAAAATAAAGTGGAGAAAAATGATCTTATAGCATGACCATGTTGTCTCTACTAATCTCTGCATGACATCTCGTTAATTCTATTTTTGTAAATTAAAAATATGATAACATGTCACGCGTAAATCAGATGAAACCAAACATTCTAAAACCATATAATAATTTGTCGATTAATTTGAATTTTCTTGTTTATCTTCATTGTGGGGAATGTTTTGCACTGTGGACACGTTTTCATCATTACGAGGAGGAGAATCTATGACCAACACTGCCTTATCAAATGGCACACCACTTCGGTACTTGTACCATTTTGCACACCAGAGATAAACGACAAAGTTAAGCAAGCTGAGTATAGCCAAGAACCAGTAGAACAGTTCAACATGGTTTCGGTTCAAGTCACGTCCCTCTAGCCACCCTTTCTTGCTCTTAGCAATCTTACCGGTTACCAAGTTTATGAGCTCAACAAAAGCTGTGCTCAAGTAGTATCCAATGGACAATGAAAGAAAGGAGAAGGAAGTGGAAAGAGATCGCATGCCTTCAGGAGCTTCTTTGTAGAAAAACTCTAACAGCCCCACCAATGTAAACATGTCAGCTATGCCAAATATTGCATAGTGGAATGAGAGCCAGAAGAGGCTGATTTGGTGATTGTGATCATTGAATTCGTGCTTCCTTTTCACCTCTATCACCCCTGCTATGACCATTGAGATTGCTGACAAAACAAGGCCAACACCAACTCTTTGTAGTTCTGTTATTCCATTGGGGTGGCCAGTCATTCTGCGCACAAGTGGTACAAAAGCAAATTCATAGACTGGTATTAAAAGGGTCATGAATACTAATGGAATTACGGGAATGGAAGCTGCTGGGATGTTAAGTTTGCCAATGAATGTGTTCATTAAGGTTCCTTGTTGGATGGAGAAGGTTTGCAATTGGGCTAAACATGTGTTCATGATGATGGTACTTAGAAGAATAGGAATCATCCTTGTTAGAATCTTCACTTCTTCCACTTGTGTCACTGTGCACACTTTCCATGTCCTTGCCTCAGTGCCTTCAGGTAGAACAGCAGCTTTGTCTAGAACCCTGTCAGGGAACAAAGCTACAAGTGTGAAATGCGGGTTTCTCTTGCACATGTATGCTAGAAAATGCCTCTTGATATTCAGTACTGCTCATGCATTTCAAGTAGTACACTGTTTCAAAATTTTAATTTGAGTTTTACAATTATCAGCCTACCAAAAAAATCTGTACAATTAATACAACTTGCGTGAAAATTTATTAAAACTTCTACTTCAGGTATAAAAAAAGTCGAACAAAACTTTCTCAGGCACCAATGCATAAATAATATCTGATGAAAAATTTTATAAATTTAAAAAATTTTAAATTCTTAATATTTAAATTACTTTGATTTTAATTTATATTATTTTTAAAATATTTTATTTGGATAAGTCATTTTAAATTTTTTAAATTTTAAATTGTTAGGTTGAATATAATAATTTGATTTTATCATAATAAAATTGATTTTAAGTGATATTTTTAAATTAAATTTTATAAAAATAAATATTAATCCATTTTTAAGTATTTAATAATATTAAAAATTAATATTAGATAATATTTAATATTTTTGAAAATATTTTTAAATATTTAATAATTAAAAAAACGAAGAGATAAGTTAAAATATATAGGTGAAATAAGAAAAACAAAATATAAAAATTTTCAAATTCTTACTTTTGTGAGAGAATTTGAAATTCTACTATTTTAAGAAATTTCACAAATGCTTGGATTTCATATTCTTTGTAAATTCTCCATCCAAACAAAGCATTTCACCTCAAAAAATTTGAAATTCTTTAAATAAATGAATTATCTTATATAAATTCTCTATCCAAACACACTATAAAGGTCATAAAATTACACTCTCAACCAATCAAAAATCATTGTTAGTATAACTTTTTAGTTATTTATTGTGAAAGTCATTAAACTTACCATATATGATGATATGATTAGATATAAGTGCAAAACTATTTTACACTATAAGTACATAACCCATTTTCTTATAGTATATGCTATTAAGTAATGCTAAGTGATTTGAAAAGCCACACAGCAGAAATATATATATATATATTGTTGACACCTGAAAACAAGACAACAAAAAATCTAAACAATATCATGTCTTCAGGTTAATTTAAAAGGCACTAAAAGAAATCATTTGGAGAAGACATGGCAGAATCTCCAACCTGAATTGGTTAGTGTGAGGGACGAGTTTTTTCTTCATACTAGACTCATGACTTTGTATTTCGTACAATTCATCAGACTTCAAGGGTACTTTAACCCTCCAATTCTTTATTGCGACAAACAGCACCTGCAAGAAGAGTCTCAAATGAATCTATTATGAACTTGAATAGCAAGGAAACATGGAGGGGAAAGGAGAGACCTGTAAAACCCTTAACAATGGACTCTCTCCCGGCACCCTGGTGCGATAGAATCTCTTTCCTGAGAGAATAAAAACAAGACCAGCAGCAGAACATGAGAGAGATATGAGAAAACCTTTGTACCATCGGAATTCCGTGCTCACATAAACTACAAACGTGACTCCAAAGCAGGCTCCAACTGTAATGCTAAACAAAAACCAATTGAAGAAACTAGCGAGTTGTACTCTTTCCTTTGGTTTATTTTCGTCAAATTGATCAGCTCCAAGAGCAGGCACACAGCCTCTGATTCCACCACCACCAAGTGCCAGCAGGTATATTGAAGTGTAGAAGAGCAAAGCTTTTGTGCCATGCACACATCTTGATTCTAAACATGGATCAGGCTGAAGTTTGATGTCGTGGGATTGAACCACAAGTAGGGAGTATCCCTGCAATTCAAAAATATCAAGATCAAGACAATGAAGAAAAATTACTTCTACTTTTGTGTGTGTATGTGTCTTGTGTTCAAGACTTCAAGTATCAGCAGCAGTTGTCATTTCTTGTATGCTAGTTATTTTATCAAGATCTTAAATATCCATTTAGTCCCTACTTTCTATAATTTTGTAAACTTTACTTTATTGTTCCTATAATTTAAAACATTTCATTTTAGTTCTTATACATGTCATTTTTATTTCCTTCTAGTCTCTATAACTTTATAAATCTTACCTTTTAGTTCCAATAACAAATAGACAGCAGGGACTAAAAGGAAAAAATATGATATGTATAAAAATTAAAATGAAATATTTTAAACTATAAAGGACTAAAAGAAAAAGTTTATGAAACTATAGAGATGAAACAAGTATTTAAACATTTCATGGATTGAAATTTGGAAGAAAAAAAAAATATAAGTAATGGCCCTTGAATTAACATTAAGCAGGTCAGCTTTTATAGTTTACCACCAACTGAATTAAGCCAAAGAGGATGCAAGTGTTGAGGCGATTCATGTAGGTATCAGAGATGAAGCCTCCAACGATGGTGAGCAAGAAAGCAGTACCCAACAAGTTTGTTGTGGTGATTGCAGAGCCAGAGTAGTCAAAATGCATGACGTTCAAGAAATATAAAACCAAGCTTGCCATGTTGGCCACAAACCCTATGTTATCCAGCAACATCATTCCTGCAGGAAAAACCAATGAATTTGCCTTTGTCAAGCAGATTATCCATCTTATTTTAAAAATAGGAATGTAATTGTGAATGAAGGGAACATAGTTTACCCACCGAAGATGAAATACGTGGCTCTATATCCTCCTTGTCTCGGAGTCTTGGCTACTCGGTACTCAACATCTTCATCATTAGCCTCAGCTTTCAAATCCTACATTTTAAAACAATAAATTTTAGCAAATGAACGATGATTTTCAAACAATGGGCATGCAATGCAAAGATAACAGTTAGACAAGCAATATTAAGAAGTCTTTTAGTTTAATGGCTAAAAGTTAAAGAGTGCAATTTTGCAAGCAATGTGCAGATGGAGATAGTTACCATGGCTGAGGAAGGCCACAGGCAGCGCTAGAAAGCAGAAACCAGTGGGAGAAGTAGGAAGAAAGTGAGGTTTGCTTCCAGTGTAATAATCCGTGAAAAGGATGAACTTTTATAATGATCACCAAGTTGCTTTAATGACACGGAAAACATGCAAGCTAATGAATCATATCATGCATTGTAAGAAGCGACGTTTCAATTGGCACATAGTTGGCGAATTGGTAAGCTAAACCGGCCGCAATAATAATAAATACAAATCTATGCTAAAACACCAACCATAGTTATGGGAATGACGTGGGTAATGTCTTTTTTAATGTGTATTATGGAAATAAAAATTCAATTTTGATTGAAATTAAATGATATTGTATTTAAATTTTGATGACAATAGACTCCGCTGACATTGTTGGTAAAGGCAAGCATAGATAGCTACTTGAAGGGAAATTGTAAAGTAGTCAATATCAAGTCTACAAAGTTTGATAATATCGTCCGTCCATGAACGGCACAGCACAAAAATCTAGATGCTTCAATGTTGATGGAACCAACCAAAGTGGATCTTTTAACCTCTTTCTTCTGTGGTTTTTCTGACGTTTCACCCCATAAAATGAATTAAACCAACCAATAAGGCAACAAATTTTCGACGTGTTTAACATTACAAACAGCTGTTAGTTGATAAGCGAATTCTCTGTTGCTGATGCTGACTTGAAAACTCATGCCTTTAGAGCTTTCTGAACTCTAGCGGCCTTTGATTCTTTTTTCACGCCTTCCTGATAACACCAATGATGTGTTTTCTCATCCAAACAAGTCCCCAAACATCCAAACACAAATATCAACTAGTCACCTCTTAATGGAAAATCAAACACGCTAACTTTAGTTAGCCAAGTGATATTTTAGATCCAGGTAAAAAAAATGAAAGATGGGAAAAAAGCGTGGTGACTGTTAATTTTTTACTAACAATATAATGAATGAAGTACAACAAAGGCATTCTACAACTCGAACTAAATTGAACTATCTTCAAGTTCAAGCAACAAAATTCAAGTTATAATTCCAATCACTGAACTCTCGGAACCCTCACCCTTTAAACATAAAAACGTACCTATTTACCTTGTAATGCATATATTAAGATCGTTTGATGTATCAATAAGATTGATCTGATAAGATATGCTTTAACAGTCTTCAACTTGATGACAAAGCTAAGATAACATGGTATTAAAAGGTTGAATGCTTGACAACAATTGTGTCAATGTCAATCATGACAATTGGCAACCATCGCGCCATGATGCTAAACCGTGCCCTTTTGCTTCATCTCGAAATGTCTTCGACAGTCTTATCCTGGTCAACTCATTGGGTACGACAAGTTGCCATGGTAAAATTTATCTCTCTTTTTTTGCATTTTTTTTTACAATTTTATAGTAATTCTTTACGTTTTACTATTATACCTGTTGTATACTTCTTGCATATTTCTGTTTCCCTGAACTTAAATTTCAAATATGCAACCAAAGTCTCCATCAAGTGCAATAAGCTTTATCTTGCTAATTGACAAGTTCCATTACGAAAGACTCCACAAACATTGTACGGAACAAGAATGAATGTGTGCCTTGACAGCAAGAATTTATCACTCTTAAACCAGATTACACCCCCTAAATCTTAATTATTTTACTAGTTAGCATCACCAAAGACCACAAACCATTGTTATTATAAATAGATAGATAGATATACTAGGAACAAAAATCATTTGGAATTATAAATATTTATATTATGTCAAAATTAGTGTACAAAATTCGCTGCAGCAGGGGGAGGGGAGGACTACAAATCCGCATGCCCCCACATGCTTTCACAGTTTCACTATGTTTAACAATAAAAGCCCAAATCGGGAAAAACTCGAAAAGAAAAAAAAATTGTAAATCAGTCATAGTATATGGATGTTATTCAGCAACTGATGGTTTCAGCTCTGGATCATCCTTCCCTTGGTCAAAATAGTAAATTGAGGCCAAACAAATCAAGACATCTGTAAGAATAAGATTGAACACGTCGAAAACAAACTTTGGAGCAAATAAACCCCAAACCTGCAAAAATTAAGCATCGAGTGAACTGAACTAGCATCAAATGTGAAGAAATGGGTAGATGAAAACTTTTAAGTAAAAGATAGCAAATTTACCATCAGGTGCCGCCTTTGAATTGTGACGCATAATATCGTGAAAGTTGTTGTGATTGCTGTTATGAGCCCATACGTTGTATACATCTATATAAAACATTGAGTGGTTATTGCATTGAACGAACAAAGCATTCAATGATCAACTAGTGGAGCTACTAACAAATGAAGGAAACTCACTTGAGATAATTGTGTAAAAAGAAAATGCTTTCCAAGATTAGCCTCGTACTTGGTTGCTATAAGAAATGGGAGTCCAAATACTGGAAGGATGATAGAAAAACCAAAGGTATCTATTGCAAGGAGGATTGCTTGACGAACAAGCACAAATTCTTCAAACCTGAAAAATAATTAGTGTCTCAATGATTGATTTACTAAGTGAACAGTAATAGTAATGACAGATAAAAACCCTTTAAAAGCCAATAACTGATTATTCAAATGGAAACAAATTTAATAAGGCCGATTGTGATGGTCACATTTGCTTTAAGAGTCCCAACATCTGACCTATAAGCATGCTAATAATAATTTACCCTATAAATGCAGCACCATAGCGGAGGCCATCAAATGCACACCTGAAACCAAAATTTTCAAAATCTATTATAAGACCAAGAGAATGCAGGACCGAGAAAGTTGCAAAGTCATACACAACCTATAAAAAAATGATAATTATAACTCCAAAAATTAAACCTTGAAAGTTGCAGGCATACCAGTGACCGCTGCAGAAAAAGAGACATGTAGCAGAGAGGCTCCATTGCAAAATAGAAAAACTTCTATGAGGTCCTTGCTTACCACCTTCTATGTCAACAAACTTCATAATAAAATAACCTGGAAAAAAATGGGAAAAAACATATTTCTTCGCTAAAGAGCATGAAGTTTGGTGCTCATGAAATTGACTTCTAAACGTCAATATCATTGCTAATCCACAAATATTAGTAGCATAAGTAAAGCCATGCCAGAAATGTATTTGGAGAATTATGCAGCAAGTTATAGAAATTTTATACAACGAAAGAGTACAAAAAGAAAGAGCACCTCCAACTATGGATGCAAAAGCAACCATTGGACCCTGTTTTCCTGAAAGAAGAATGACAGTTGAACTCCACGCCGATAACATGGCTGTTGTTTTCGCAACTAGATTTGCCTTGTAATCTAAACAATTTTTCATAAATAATTGGCCAAATCCTAGCAATAACAACTGTCCCAAAGCAATAGCATAAACGATTCTAGGAATATAATTTCTTCCAATGCTTTCAGCCATCAGTGCTACACCAAATTTATTACTGTCTGTGATCCAATGCACAATTATTAGCACGTAACTCAAGATAGTGCCCAGTATGACATACTTCCATGGCCAATCAAAGAAGCTGCCACTGGTGACATTGTAAAGCCAAGCTGCCAGCAGAATCAGAGCTAACATTGGTACAACTTCAGCTGCATAGTCCCATACAACTAAACCTGAGGCTATGTTAACAATCCATGAGGTATAGTCTTTCATGAAAGCAGATGTGGCAGCCTGCTTAGACAACCCAACCTCAATTACAAATCGGCAAAAGGTGCTCAAAATAAGGAACCCAATGCTCTGCAGAAATGATAAAAACATGTTCATGAGACATTTAATTAGAATTTCAATAAAACTTCTATAGGCACACATGCCTTAGAATGTAAGCAGATTCAGATATAATACTAAGCTTTTAGACAAAGGAGAAACAAAAAACTAAACAAAATACATACTTCTATTAGCGCCTTCCCCTTGATAACTGATTGGCGTAATGCCACAATTCCAGATGTGCTCAAGAGAAAATTAGCTACTTTCCCTTCCTCCACTGACAAAAATATCAATGTAAAAAGCACAATGACTGATTTAAATTTTAAACATCCTGGATAATCAAAGAGGAATTTATTTTAAAAAAATCACACTTACAAATATAACTGTTTGAAAGGAAACTGCATGCACGAATGCCCAGTAAAAAGAACGTAAAAACTGAGCCAGTGATAACCCAAGAATTTCCAGATGATGACAATGTTTCACCATGCTGCTTGTTTGCCCTTAAAATGGTTAAAAATTGAAATATAAGTGATATTAACATGATTCCAATGCCAGTTCCCATCATCTTCAAATCAAATTCAGTCCATTTAGACCGAGCTAACTCAGAGACTGTTGTTAGAAACTTGAAATATGCATCAATTTGCCTCTTAAGTGCAGGCACTAATGTATCACTGTCATTTTGTATATCAAGCAGAAGCTTTTTGGTGGAATGTGACCAGTGATTCTCTGCTTGAGCATAAACACTTGCTATTCGGGATAAGTCATCATTGGAAAATCCAACAGCTGATGAAGCTGAGTAAGCATCTACATATCTCTTAACCTAGACAAGGAGAAAAGCATAATTGAAATGACTCAATGATCTCTCTCTCACCCTGATATCATTATTGGTTGACAAAATTAAACACCCTAAAAGAGATGGTAGAATAACCCAAGATTTCCTTGAAATATAATTAAGTCATTTTAAAAGCATTATAAAAATAGAATTTAACAATGTAAAACTAATTTTACTTGCTTACAAAAATGTTGATGAATATATGTGTGTGTATATAACAAGTTGCATTATTTACAGTTTAGTCCTCAAATTTTAGATTTGAAAGAAATACGGGATGTTTGTTTTGGTCTAGAAAATATTAACATATTAAATAATTCACTGTCTATCTAGGTGTTTGAGCAGCATTGTGGTATCAACTATCAAACGCAAACAAAAAATAAGCATGGAGCTCTCAAAAGTCAAAACAACAATTTTATAATAAATGGGCAGAAATAAGAGAGATTGCTGTGTTTTTGAAGTCAACAAATATCTCTCAAAGGTCACGATTTATAAGAGCAAAAGGTGAGGCTAGGAAAGGGAGGTATTCTAAATTTCTAACATTTGAAGATCATCATAGGTCCATTTCACAACTTTATAGCCAAAATATGAGTAGAAAATTGTATAAACAGTAATTTGTTATTGAGAACACAAGATTCAACAAGTACCTGCCAAGAATTTATACATAGTGCGTTAGCATAATTTTGCATCCAGATATCTGATTCTGACAGCTTTTGAGAGGCATCCAAATTCCAGCTATCTGCTCCTAATGCGTATAATTCAGGATTGATGTGACCAATGCTGGGGACCAAGAAAATGATCTTGTGAATATTTAACATAGTTCCCAAGAAGAATTTTTTAAAACAATCTGCTACAACATGATGGCTTATAAGAAAATGCAAAACCAGACATCAAAATAGAAGCTTCCAGATTGACGAAATGATTCTAGAATAGGATTCAATTATACAGGGACAGCAAAGTGACCAATCAACAAAGCTTAGCTCCAGAAACACTGGAGGCTAATATATACATGAGATTAATGTTCTGTCGCACAGGTGCATCATTTCATTTATCATATATATGTCCAGTGTCTCTATCTCAATTGTGTCTCTCTAAATGCTGAATGATAGGATAGAGATAAACATCTTAGGCCCAATTGCTCCAAATTTTTATTATATTTTCATTTTTCCTCTTTAAATTTTAAAAAATAAAAATAAAAACAATCCCCTTCAACTCCCAGTGATTTACTGTAAATTGTCAACACCAAATAACACTAAAATATGATACTCTCAAGCAATAACTTTCCTATGCCCTTGTAAACCACCTTGAAAAATAAATACTAAATCAGAAATTATGAGACCAAAATAAACTTCCATCTACCCACAGCTCATAATGGAAAACAAAACAGCTAGTGAGAACTGACAAATGTACAAAGCCAGTTGAGTCAATACATTTAGTTAATAATATTGCTATACTGATATAAAACAAATGAAAACAACAGTAACAGACAGGATGCTTACACTGCACCTTCCGTAAGGGAAAGGTATGCCAAGCAATGCTGACACTGTTACTGCAAAGTCAAGCTGTAAATGACGATAGGGAATCAGGGATAAATACAGGAATGAATATATTAAATTATATACGGTGTGTTCAAAATACCATTACAACAAAAAAGCTTTCCTAACCTGTTGCATGGAGCTCACACAAACATTCTTCCCATCCTGAGATGCAAGACGTGTAATTTACCCAGAAAAAAAAAATTAAAATTCAAACACAAACACAGAATTATAAAGATCAAAGTCAGTTTCATGATTTTGGGATCAGAGTAGAGTAACATGGATCACACTGCCTATGAGTAGTTTGATTATTTAATTTATCCAACCATATCCTTTAAGTTAGATATATTAGGTAATATGCATTTAGTTAATGTTATAGTTTTCCAAAGGCCCCTCAATCACTTAATTATAAATAACTACACATTATTCTGCACTCCCAATTCTCTAAAATTACTTATTCTTTCTATTTCTTGACCATTCTAGCGAGGTAATGAGCATGTGCAAGAGGAATTAAAAGATTGTTGGAATTTGGCAAGAGATATTAACGAAACTTAAAGCCACCAGCATTTTTTTTTTGGTTTGTTTATGTATGTTTAAGCTTCAAAGGAAGAGTAAATACCAGATCCAGTTGACAAGAACACGAATCAAATTCTGGGGGCACAGAAGAAATAGGCTTCTTAAAACTCATGGCAAAAATGGCAGTTTCCACCTGCATGATGCCATCACAAAATGAAAAAAATATACCAAGTCAAATTGGAAATAAATGTATAAATGAAAAAAAGCATATGAAAAGATGTCATGTGTTGTGCACACCTCTTCAGCACTCCCACCGCCATGATCACCATTTAGAGTTTGTCCATGGTCACCCATGACCACAAGCAAAGTATTTTCATGTGATTTCCCAGGTCCAGACTGATTTTCCAGAACTTCGATAACTCTCTAAAACAATTTAGGTTAGTTTTATTTTAAGTCATGGAAATTAGCAAAAATACTAAACCAACTAAATTGGATAAAAACATGAAGACAAGATCACCACAACTATATTGTAAAATCAAGAATTACAGAAACTTACCTCTAAAATGGTATTGTATTGCTCCAACTTTTCTATCATTGGGGCAGAGTCAACACCAAATATATGTCCAGCATGATCCTGAACCAAGCAGAATACCATATAGAACATGACGAAAATCAATTATGATGATGCAAAATGAGAATAGGAATAACAGGGAATAAAATGCAACCATGGATTATTAGGTGAATCGCATGAAATAATATCAGACATACCACTCCAAGAAAATGTGCAATAAGAACATCCCAATCTTCTTCATATAGGGACGGTAATAGGTGGTCAATGCATCCATTGTCAACCTAGAAAATAAACAGTGGCGTGTCATAGTCATTGAAATGATGGACCAAACAAACGCCAGCCCTACTCAATTAACATATATAGCAAGGATTAAAAGGCTACTCAAAAGTAAGGTTTAACGCAACATAAGGCCTACCGTATGAAGATCTTTGACATTAAAAGAAGGGTATGGATATGATCTTTCAAAATGATGAGGAAATAACTGTGTCCACGTATCATCCCCCATCATAACAACTTTCTTCCCGTTTAGAACCAACTGTAAGTGAATACATACATTTGAATAAACGGAAACTCAATAAGAACTTGTTTCAATCTGATAGCAAACTAGTAAACCAATATTTCAAATGAAAAACATTAGGCCTACCTGATTTATGAAGTTATCTTCCACAATTGCCGGCGCGCCAAAGCTATTACCAACATCCACAAAAGTTGGAAGTCCACCAGTTGTCAAGCCCTATCAAATCAAAAGCAATCAGTTCAACATACGAAATATAAAATCCCAAATTCATACACATTCAAAACAATGTACCAACAGAGAACGTTACAACACTAATTCGAAATTGCAATGCGATGCATTAATCAATTGTTACATTAATGACAAAAATTAATTCGACCTTCAGGCGCTGCAAACTTGTAGTAGGCGGATCCGCAATGGCTTTGAAGATCCTAGCAGACAAAGGCCGCGCAGATGCCACGTTCTTCAACACTTGCAGTCTATCCATCCACGGTTTCGATTCTGTGACACAACACAAAACCTAAAAAACTCGAAACGCAAAGTGGAAAACCGTTTACCGAGTCAACAACAGGTAAGATAGATAACCTGCGAAGAAGGTGCTGGGAGCGACGAAATCAAACCTGAAACGCAAATCACGTAACATAACGCGATGAATCGATTGCGACAAGAGTAAACAGCGTCGACACATAGAATGTATACCTGAGAGCATCGAGAACGACGAGGACGAGGCGGTTAGCGGCGGGTTTGGTCCAGCAAGATCCGTTGTTGGAGGAGAGGCAGGGGGAGTGGGAGACGTCGGAGCAGTGGCTGCGGTGAGGAAGCTCGGTTCGCGTGAGGAGGAAGCCGGCGGTGAAAAGGAAGACGGCGAGGAGGTGGAGCAACAGCGTCGTCCACAGAGGCCATGTGTATCCCCACTTCCCACGCTCCGCCACCAACGACGTCGTTTCCGATTGCTTCATTACAGTGTGATGCACGCTTTCTCACGTCCTTTCTGGATTCCCAACTCACTCACTCAATCAAGCTTAAACCCCGCTCCTGCGTGTTTGGTTAGTTAGTGTTTAAGTCAATACACATGTAATGTAATAGATTCACCATGTAATGTAATGGGTTATTTAAATTAATTTTTTTATAAGAAGGTAATTTTAACATATTTATTTTATTTTAATTGTTTAAAATAATTAATTTTCTATAGTAAAATTTTTTATAAAAAAATGTAATAGATTAAATTACTAAACACGTTTGGGTAATAATGTTAATCATTATTATATCAACGAAATTATAATCTTATAAATAAATCCATTTAATATGCTCATTTTATGCATGTTTGGATTAAGTGAATACAAATGGTTATATTTACAATTATAACTTCTCATAAAAATTAAGTTTAAACGTGTTGAATTTGAAAACATAAGATTCATTATAATTTTATGAGGCTTACGCTGGTTAAATTTGAAATCCCTTAACCAATTATTATTTTAATCAAGAGTCGATTGTACTACATCTTCCACATGACCTTAAAATGCTTAGAAAGATTCATATTTAAAAAGATGTTTTAGACAAGGTACGTATCAACTATCAACATGTCTAATTTAGTTGCTTGATCATGTGTGTACTTATCGTAAACTCTTTAATAAGTTTTATTTTTCAAAAATAAAAACAATGTGATATAATTTATTCATATTTATTTGTTCTATACTTGAAAAAAAAATAGTAACTATCGTATAATAAGAATACAATTGGAAAAAAATTATTAAGTTTTTTATTTATATTGAATTATTTGTAATGTCTTGATATTATTGTATATTTTTATTTATTATTCTAACATTTTATATATCATTATTTATCTCTCTTTTGAGATAAGGAAATAATTATAAAATAATAATTTGGTCTATATAAATATAGTTTATATAGTGTTCTAAAATTGATTTTTGTAGATCAAATATTATTTTAATATTGATAAATTAAAAAATAATTGATATTATCTTAATTTTTAAAACAATATTTTTCAAAAGTATCAAATTGTAAATTAAGGTGGTTATTTTATAATAAACGGAAACCTTTGTTTTCTTAAATGTTTGGTATTATGGTCTAAAAGAAATGTTTGGCGTCTAATAATTTTTTTCATCTCACTCTAATCTAAATTAATTGAATAAACTCCTTTAAAGAAATAAACTCACTCAAACAAATATGTCAAAATGGTCAATTAATTGAATCCCAAAAATTCCAGACTTTATTAAACCTTAAGTAAAAGATTAAATAAAAACAAGAAGAAAAAAACCATAAAAGAGACAAATTTCACTCGATCCAACAAGCTATTTGACTAGGTTGGGCCAACAAATGTGATCCATTGAGAATTTGCATTATTTTATTCGTTTTACATGTGTTGGCCCGTCAAGTCGGCCCATTTGCTACTTTCGCCAAATATTACTCATTTTAAAGAAAGGTATTTATCAAAAAATAAAAAATATTTAAATTATTTTTTATTACAAAGTATTTAAATTTTATCACTTATAAATATTACATTCTCTTCAAAATAGGTATCTACGAGAAAAAAAAAGTATTTAAATTTTGTTACTTATCAATATAAAAAACACGTTAATATAAAAACACGCCACAAGCATGGCATCACTTAACACGTCTCACTAATACTTATCTGTATGAGGCTGAAAAATTCTACAACAATCGCGGTAAGTGTCGAATTTTAAATCTCGTGAATTTATTCTATAATATCAATTATTAGATGGATTCTAATAATTCAAATCTTCTTATATATATTTTAATAAAATTAATTATCCATAGTTGAAAAATTAATTAAAATAAAATTAATATAAATAAATAAATAATTCATTTATAAAAACTTGAAAATCATTTATTAGGAGTAATAAAGTAGGTCAACTCATCTAAAGAAGTGGAACGATAAGGGTTGACCTATTAAAGAAACAGGATAAAACGGGTTAGTTAAAAAATAAATAAATTGAAAAATGTAACTCATTTTACTTTACAGTGGATTGATCCACTTTAGTGAGTTAATAGATTAAAATTGGTGGGTTAACAAGTTATTCAATCTACTTATTTTAAAAAAAAATTCAATTAAAATATTTCAATATATATTATCACTCTGATCTCTATTTTTATTATTATTTATAAATTTAATTAGAAGTATTATATTTTTTAGGAATAAAGACAAAATGATATATATTTTATTAAAAAAGATATTATACATGAAAATGTATTAATCAAAAACATGTGATTAAAATAATTTTCTATTTCATATAAAAGGAGAACAATTACCTAGAAAAAGAAGATAAATTGTGAAATAAAAATATCGATCCAACTTAAATGCACTACATATTTATCTTTTAAAATTATTTTTAAAAAAATAGATTAACGAATTGATTCACTAAATTAGTGTGTTAAATCCATTAAGTTGACAGGTTTAACTAGATAAGTTGAACAAGTTGATAGATTAATTTGTTGAGTTGAACCTATCAAAATCAGATGGAATTGAGAAATTCATCCATTAAATTTAACCTGGATTATCATCCCAAACATTTATTTATTTTTTAACTTAAGACAAATGGATCTTTAACCCATTATTTTACCAGGGTAAAAATTATGAATCGTTATTTTAGTTTATCCAAACACATGATAAAATTCACGCGATCAAAATTTATGAAATCATATCACAAAATTAATTTCGTCCACATCATAAACTAGATAGTAGATACAGTAGGGTTTTTTTTTTTCACGAGCTACTCGGGGGAGTTTCATATAAACATTAAACTAGTACCGATTAAGTAAGCTTCCGACAACGTGGTTATCCGTACGTAGGTGGAAGGAAGAGCATCCTAAATAGTCCACTTGTATTGTATGTTGCTAAGTGCTGAATCTACTTACTTCGTTTACCGTACGGGAAATTGCATTTTCCTACGCGAAACTACGCAGTTGTTTCCATGCAAGGTTAAACCCCTCCTTTGCACCACCATAACTGAAGGAACCATGCTTTCGTCTTTTCAGCTCAAACTGTAACAAAATGTTAATACTTACTTCTTACCCATTACCAGTTATTACGTACCATGGAACCGTATCATGCTTAGATTTATATATCAAAGCCATGTTACACTTTCGTGTTGTAGTTCCGTGCCTGCACTATAACACACTCTTTCACAACAACCTTGCTTTAAGAGTCATTACTATCAGGTATCACTTTTTCTTTCTCAACTTCATCTCTTGTAATATTGGATATCAGACTATAGAATATAGAGCTATACATGCTGAAAATGTCTTTAACATGCTGTTGAATTACCAGATGAGTTGAAATTAGACATGGGTTTCAAGTATTTGCTGGTTGTTACGTGTTTCTGTGCTTGGTTTGGATCCTTGGCTGTTACAACTTCTTCTTCTGATGGGTTGTTAAGGGTTAGTCTAAAAAGGAGGAGTTTAGACATTAACAGTCTTAATTCCGCAAAGATCAAGGAGGTTGGTCATCATTTAAAAGCAAATGCAGTGTATCTGAAGAATTATCTCGATGCACAGTATTTTGGGGAAATTGGTATAGGGTCACCTCCACAAAGCTTCAGAGTTGTGTTTGACACTGGAAGCTCCAATCTCTGGGTCCCTTCTTCCAAATGCGTTTTGTCTGTGAGATTGTTACCCTATGATCTGATGCATTTGAGTGCTATCTCCTTTAATTTCATTTTCTTTGACTAAACTTATTTTTAAAACAATATATATGACTACCTGCAGATTGCTTGCTATTTTCATTCCAAGTATAGGTCGAAGCTGTCTAACACCTATACCAAAATAGGTAACTCCGAATTAGCATGACATGCAATCTTTTAGTTCTTCCATTTGGTTTGACACGTACAAAGCTTTAGTATACTGACAAGCAGTAACATAGTTTCCAACATTTTTTTATTAGTATCAATAATTTAAGAACTAGACCTACTAAATGGTAAAAGAAACCATGTATATAGTGGAACCTACATGAGTTTCATCCAATAATAAAGTGTTAGGTAATGTGTTACCAGAGTTTCTGTTATTATATTTATTATGCTCATACTCAGATGTTTGGAAAATGTCCAGGAACACCTTGCAAGATCCCTTATGGCCGTGGACACATTCCTGGCTTCTTCAGCCAAGATAATTTAAGAGTTGGGGAAATCATTGTCAAAGATCAAGTCAGTATTATGACTCTCCAATTAGTATTGTGATTGATTGAGTTTTATATGTGCTTCAATTATGTTTGCACTTTTGGTTGTATTGGACTGATGGTTAGTTACTTCCCATCCTCAGCAATTTGCTGAGATTACAAAGGAAGGACCTCTGGCGCTTTTAGCACTGCATTTTGATGGGATACTTGGACTTGGGTTCCAGAATAAGTCAGTGGGACAAGTCACACCAGTGTGGTAATTGATCCGTTTGTTTATTACTATTATATATACCTTGCTAGTTGCTATATTTCATCTTGATTTTACCCTTTAGCAATGAGAGAACAAGGGCACACGCTTGGTGCTTGATTGTCCTAATTTGGTGATAATAGGGTAGAAGAAAAATCAAACTATCCCTTTAGAGTTTTTGATGCTTCAAATACTTAGTGATTAGTTCTGTGAATACAGGTACAATATGATAGAACAAGGGCATGTGAATCAAAAGATTTTCTCCCTTTGGCTAAACCCAGATCCAATGGCAAAGATAGGGGGTGAGATTGTCTTTGGTGGTATTGACTGGAGGCACTTCAAGGGTGACCACACTTATGTTCCACTTACTCAAAAGGATTATTGGCAGGTCTATTTGATTTACATCTTTATTCACTTCTGTGTAGCTCTTATCATCAACCATGTCAACATTGACATTTTTGTGTTTTCTTCTCCAGATTGAGGTGGGAGATATTATACTTCCAAACAATCCAACAGGTTCTCTTTCATTTCTATTAATTTTGATGTTTAATCTACATGCCTTGTATTTTGGTTGCTCCCTGTAGTTATGAATGATGAATGGCATGAATTACAGGGCTATGTGAGGGAGGCTGTGCTGCTATTATTGACTCAGGGACCTCTTTGATTGCCGGTCCAACAGTATGATCTCAAACATTATACTTTTTTCTAGGTACATTTTTTGATTCTCTTAATTTTTGGTGTCTCTTTTTCTTACTAGTTCTTGTTTGCAGAAAATTGTGGCTCAAATTAACCATGCCATTGGAGCAGAAGGATATGTGAGTTATGAATGTAAAAACATCATCCATAACTACGGTGATTCAATATGGGAATATATAATTTCTGGGGTTTGTTCTTTATATCTCTATACCTTTCCCCTTAAGTGATTATCCAAAAGCTCTACTGGAATTTTAACCATTCTTTCTATATCTTCTTATGTCTTCAGTTAAAACCCGAAATTATATGCGTTGACATTGGAATCTGCTCACATAATAGATCATCACATACAATGAAGTACAATTCTTTTCATTTTCCTCGTTTCTTTTGACACATTCCTTTGTTTCAGTTTTCTTAACCAAAGTCTAACTTTAACCTGCAGTGATGCTTTTGAAACAAGGACACATAATGAAAGTTGGGGTGAGTCACGAACAAAGGAGAGTCCACTGTGTACTTTTTGTGATATGATTGTCTTTTGGATTCAAGTTCAGCTTAAGCAAAGGAATACAAAGGAAAAAATATTAAAATATGTGGATGAGGTAAATGTTGTTCAATGAGTTACATCTCAGAATTATCCTTTTTACTTTTGAATTGAGTATTCAATACGTCTATTTTTCCATTCAAGGACTTACACTCTGTCTTTTTCTTTCTTTTTCAATATTATTCTACAAAAGCTGTGTGAGAAGCTTCCCAATCCCGTGGGACAAACATTTATAGACTGCAACAATATTGCAACCATGCCACAAATTACATTCACGATTGGAAACAGATCATTTCCCCTCTCTCCAGAACAGGTCTGGGTTTTTTGGTCAATTTTTTTAGTCCTACTCCTACATAACTTTTTCAGTTGCTTTTCTTGACACTAGAAAAATGAGCATGCATAATGCTTATATTATATCAGCTACCTAATTCAAGTTCATATATTCCGTCTCTTAAAAATGTTTGACAACTAAAAATAGCAAAGTGTCTGTTGGTTGTTTGAATCCATATTTGGTCGCTATTACTTAACAGTTCAGGCATTTAATATTTCATTTACTCTCTCAGTATATGCTAAGAATTGAAGAAGGTTGCTCCACTGTCTGCTATGGCGGTTTTGTTTCTCTGGATGTGCCATCTCCACAAGGTCCCCTCTGGTAATGAATAATAATATTCGTATGAATATGATTCCTGCCGCATATTATTACTATTATTAGAGTAATAGTATATAGTATATGACAGTTGTAGTATGGTTGCAGGGTTCTTGGAGATCTTTTCCTGGGGGCATATCACACAGTGTTTGACTATGGCAATCTCCGTATTGGATTTGCCGAAGCTGCCTAGCCATAACTTCGTGTCATTACTATGCCAAATTGTTTGTAGGAAAAAAAAAAAAGACAAATAAAAGTTTATAGGATTTTTCAGCATTTAAAAACTACAGATCCTTCGTATTTGAGTGCTGTAGGATCTATTGTAAATGTTGATTAGTAATAATTTGGTATACTTCCTGAATAAAATTTGTTACATAAACATTTCCTGAAAAAGACAAAGCATACTCTTAAGTTTGAGACTATTTTAATAGCAAAAATGGAAAGTATCGTGCACCAGCCGGGAATCGAACCCGGGTCTGTAACGTGGCAGGGTACTATTCTACCACTAGACCACTGGTGCCGCTGTTGGCTTAATATTCCTAATTAAATATGTTATTTGATGTAGAGAAAAGAAGAAGAACTTTATTCAAGTTAAATATTTTTTATTTTGGGCGAAGGAAGCATAGAGATTGAGAGAAGGTAACCGAAATGCGAAGGAAACATCTGGAATTTTCTTTGTGCAATGGCAATTCCACTCATAAATACGTTTCTTGGTGAGCGAGGCCTGGCCAATCGCCATAGCCCATATCTGTGCTAATGAAAATTGAGGTTTAATTAAATAAAATCTGCGGTGTGGAATCTGAATTGCGATTGCGAAGATGGAAGTGAGAATCGGAAGAAGGGTTTCTCGTGGAATGCTCCCTCTCCTGGCTCTCCACACCTTCTCGGAGTACTACCGGTCCGAGCAGAAGCCTCCGGTGACGGCGGCCCTGATCGCGGCGAACACCCTGGTGTACCTCCGGCCCTCCTTGATGGAGTCCCTGATCCCTGGCATCGAGGAGGTGTGGTTCAACCCCCACCTGATCCTGAAGAACAAAGACCTAAAACGGTTCCTCCTGTCGCCGTTTTACCACATGGGTGAACCGCACCTGGTCTACAACATGCTCTCCCTCCTCTGGAAAGGGTTCCAGCTGGAGACATCGATGGGAAGCGCCCACTTCGCCTCCATGGTGGCTTCCCTGCTCCTCCTCTCCCAGGGCCTAACCCTAACTCTCTCCAAATCACTTCTCCTCTTGTTCGACTACCACAGACCCTACTACAACGAATACGCCGTCGGCTTCTCCGGCGTCCTCTTCGCCATGAAGGTCGTTCTCAATTCCCAATCCCACGACTACACCTACGTCCACGGCCTCATTCTCCCCTCGCGCTACGCCGCCTGGGCCGAGCTGCTTCTCGTCCAGTTGCTCGTCCCCGGCGTCTCCTTCATCGGACACCTCGGCGGGATTCTCGCTGGGCTTCTTTACCTCAAGCTGAGGTCCACCTATTCGGGCTCGAGCCCAATCACGTTTCTCATTCGGGGAATTGCGGATGCTGTCAGGTGGCCTTTCAAGTTTCTGCCGCGGCGGGGGCGTATCACCGGCAGGGGAACCGTTGGGAGTAGCAGGGCCTGGAGGTGCCAGGCCTGTACTTATGATAACCACAATGCTTCTTTGAGTGTGTGTGAGATGTGTGGGACTAGTAGAGGTCTCAATGGGGTCTCTTCCTTTCGCTCCGATGCCCTTCCCTTGGACGAGTTGCGTCGCCGGAGGCTCGACAGATTTGTCCGGTAGGTCATACACTCGTACTCTCCTCGCTTTATTACATGTTATGGTAAATAATTGAGTTAGATATGAGATTGAGATTGCACACATGTTGTTGTTAGATGTTACATTCTGTTTTTGGACATATGTTTGCTGTAGAGCTAGGACTAGAATTTAGATGATGTTGCAGCCGGTTGAATTGCATTTTACACCACACCACACCACACCACACCAAGCATAGAGTTGGATTGTACTTTTTTCAATAAAAACAAGGATGGTATTCCATCTCTTATATATTCTTGTAACCTTTTTTTTCCAATCAAAACTGGGGTTATTTTATTTCATCTTGGTAGCTTGTACAGTGAATGAGTCAAGGTGTGTGGGGACTATTGTCTATTGCAGAATGCAGACCTGCTGGCTGTTCAGGGTGTGGTTCTTATGGATGGTGTTGGCATTTGAGAGGGGAATAGGGTTGGGAGTGCGTTTTTTGAATTCAAGTTCAATAATCCTTGTACACTGTGTTTGGTTGCACCGGAACATCAAATAAATAGTGGGAAGGGGCTAGAAATAGCAAAAGAAATAGAGAGGAGTGGCGAGAAACAGCCGCAGAAAAATAAGTTGGGTCCTTTGATTGACAAAAATATGCTAGGTGTGAAATTAAAAGTAGTGGTGTTTCATATGTATTTTATATTTTCACAAAACTGCAGAGAGAAAATGATAGGATGGGTCTAGGAAGGTACAAAAGAGGAAAAATTAAATGGTTTATAGGTTGGTGTTAGAATATTAGGATATATTTTTATTTAATTTTAATATTTGATATTTATTAAAATAGGATGATGACACTTGTAGGATTATTTTTAATGTTATTAGGTTCTAAATTTGTATTGCTTTTGGCGTATGAGGAATGAATAAAAAATATCATTGTTAATGATTATCTTCACTGTAGTTTTCTTGTGGTTCTTATTGGGAGATTATAGGAGTAGTGATAGTATAACTTTTTTCCTGCTTTCAGAAGAAATTAAGGAGAGTGTGTCCAGTTATCTTCTGACCTTTATTCTGGTGACACCACCTTTTGTATTTGACACCGGCATGTAATTGATGCACATGTCAATTAATCGAGTAAATCGAATATTGTAACCGATTATGGGTATATTTGGTTCTACATTAAACATGTTTATAATTAATTTCATTACATTTAAAATGATTAGAATCACATTTAAAGGATGTTTGGTTATTAGCATAATTCATTTCAAAAAGAGAAAATTCACATCCACTTAAAAGCAATTCTAAGTAGTTTTTTTTTTATCAAATAAAATCAATTCTGGATTTTTATCTACTCAGATTGATTATACATTAATTAATTTTGATAACAAATTTTCAAATAATATTCAATATAAAAATTAAGTTCATACCTTTTATCGTTTAAATAAAAATTACATTATTTTTTACTTAAATTTACTCAAAATCAATTTCACAAATTTACATTGGACTTTGTTTTAATCGATTATGCAACCATGTATTTGATTTGTAGAATAACTTAAATCAATTACGGCTTCAATCATAATCAACTACTTTTTAATTGAAATGCAGCATCGGTATTCAAATAATGATCTAATTGTACCACCAAGTTAATGCTTGTAAGTGATAAGTAGATTCATTTTCATTATCGGCATGGTATAAAATAAATAAATAAATAAAACATACTTTAAAACTATTTGAAAATTAAAATATATTAAAAGATGATGGATAGAAAAATAATGAATATTAACAAGGTATTTAATATATATGTATACATAACATCAACAAAAATTGAACTAAGAAGTTGAACACAATTAATATGTTGAATTCAATTTTTAAATTATTTGGGCAATACTCGAGTTCAATCATCAGCAAAAATAATCATTGGTTAAATTTTATTTACCTTTCAATTAAATTAGATTAATTTAAGGTGAATTCTTAAGACATTGGTATGAAATAAATAATAATAATTTTATATTATTTTATATGTTTATATTAAATTTTGTTAAAATTGAATAATAACTTGTAGGTAATTAAAATGTTCATGTTTTATTATATTTTAAAATATATATATACGTCAATTTTATTTTATAATAATGAAATATTAAATTATATTAGATTAATATAAAATTTTGTAGATGTGATCTAAGAGTAAAGAACTTTTATATTAACGGTTAGATTTATAAAATTCATAATTAATATAAAGTTATTGAATGGTGTAATATTTAGTAAAAATTATGCGGGTGTCGTTTGAAATTCTCTTCATATATATATAGAGAGAAGAGACATTTGTTTATTTCAAGAGTAAGTCTATTATTCTGTTAAATAACTCATGTTTTTATTAAATTTAAACGATTTAACCGTTAAATTTAAAGTTCTTAATATATAGATTAATTCTACAAATTTTTAAAAGATTTAAAAATTATTTAATATTTTATTTCATTAATTAAGTTAAATTAATAAAATAAAGTATCAAATAATTTTTAAATCTTTTAAAAAAAATTAAATTAAATTTATATATTAAAATTTTTAAATTTAATGATTAAAATGTTAAAATTTAATATATAATATAAATTATTAAATAAAATAAATCGAAGAAAAGTATTTAAGGAAACGAATTCTTCTTTTTATAGTTTTTCTAAATGGGGCCTTATTAACCAAACCGGTTTACTTTGTTTGATTCCGTGGTAGTGATGTAGTGACGTGATTTTTCAAGTCCAATCAAACAAATAGTTCAAGCTTGCACATTTTTTGAGAGAATTGACGTGATTTCAAAATAATTTATGCATATCCAAACACGCATTGGATTCAGTGACTTTGTTGCTATACAATGTCTTCTTTTATCTCTCAAAATCCTTCAATTGTTTGAAGACACGGTTTCTCAATAAAAGTATAAGTTATGGCTATATGCAAATCTTAGTAGGAAAAGCAGCGATAGAAGAAGCTGTGAGTCTATATACACATGACCCTTAAAACCAGCAATAAAATAAAATTCATAATAATCATGGTACCAACAAAAAAAAATCCCAGAATACTATGTGGTTATTACTATTCTCAAAAAATACATGTAGGTTTGGCATTGATATGCAATGCTACACTGAATTTCATGAAATTAACTCCTCAGTTTGGCCATTGGTACATGAATTCCCAGAACCCCGTTTGTCCATTCAAGCCATAAATCCCTTCAACAGAAACCAGCCATGAACAGCCAGCATCACCACATCGTACCCTGTCCCTGGCAAAGGAATAGGCATTAAAATGGAACTCCTGAACATTTTGCCACCCCAAATCACAGAAAAAGAGGGTGGTTCCAATAACATTGTCAGAGAAGTCCCACCCAAATTCATTCCCATCTGCTATGTTTTGCTTGCCCAGATCATTGTCTTTGGACTGGCAATGCAAGCTCATGTTCCTTCCAGATCCTAGCATGTTCTTGATGCTTACATGTTTAGTGCCTGCAACAATAGGGATCAACAATCCTATTACCACCACCAATAGGGTCTTCATCTTGGCTAAACCTCCCATATGTGCTTCTATTCAGAGGATTTCAACCCAAAACATCTATACACACTCCATACAATATATATGAGTGAAACTAGACTTAAATCTTTTATTAAAAAAAAAATTGAGTTTGAAAATATTGTAGATGAATAAAATATTTATGGAAGAGGAAACCTCTTTAAAAATAATATGTTTAAGTTCATCATAGAAATTAATATAAATAATTTTTTTATTTATTAAAATTATAATGATAGTAATAAATTTTAAATTATATATACTATCTTAGCCTTCTACCGTTAAATTGATCATAATGATTTTAATACCTCTCGTATGCGATATGATGAAAAATAAAAAATAGGCAAATATTGTCTATATTAATGCATATAGAAATAACTATATGACATTGATTTTGCAGTTTATGTCCCTATCAGTGAGTATGATACGATATGAATGAATTGGCCGCTAAGATAGATGTGTAATGACAACACAACATTCGTAAATTTCGAAGGGAAGTTGGCTTTTCTTTATTTTTTAGATGTCGCCAAGGTATTTGGAATAATTTATTTTTAACTTGTTAATCTCATGAAAAAAAAGAAGAAAAAAACAAATATAGTTCAGAAAATGCTCAACATTACTAGTCAGAGCTTCTCATCAATTATTCACTCTCAAACTTTATGAATATTTCCCATTAATACTATAATTATATAATATTTGTTAAATTAATATTACTATATGTTATAATAATAATTTTGTTATTTAATAATATATTTTTATATGTATATAGAGATTCTGATGAGAAGGAATATATTTAATGAATTTATAGGAAGTAATGAATTTAATAAATGTATTATATTTAATAAACACTATATCTAGAACTATTTAATAAAAATATTTTTTAAAATATTTACTAAATATTAATTTATCAACCTTTAGTGATACATTAATATCTACGTAATATATATAATTTATTTATTAAATTATATATGCAATATTTAATATATTTGATAATATTTTTAATATAGATGGATTCTTAAAAATGCAACACACTTAATAAACATCTATTATAATTATTAATTTTACATGTACATACATATATATATATATATATATATATATATATATATATATATGCTTGAATTTTTATCAGGAAGTATATTTTATAAACCTCTTTTAAAGAAAAAACAAAACTTTTAATGCAAATTTTACCAACTCACACATTAAAATAAAAAATCATATGAAATAAATATATTATATATAATAAATATAATATTTAATGACATGATTAAAATTAATAATATTTAATAAATATAATAATTATGTAAAAGACAATATGAATTGAGAACAAATCATTATTTTGAGCTGACTCATATAAATATGATTGAAGGTAGTAATTATTTTAAATTAAAATACTCTTAATTTAGTAAAATATATTAATTGTAAATTCTTTAATAGGCATGCACTTTAATTGGTTTAGATAAATCTAAACATAATTAGGAGAGATAAATAATATAGGATATATACTTTAATTAATTATAAAATATTAATTAAAAAAATAGTATAAAAATAATTTTAAAAAAACATAAATAGGTTATTATTATCAACTAAATTAACTACTTTTTTATTTCAGTGAATTAGAATTAGTAGTTATTTATATACTTTATTTGATTTTGAATATATATATATATAATGAGAGGAAATTTATTATGAGAGATGAGAGAGTTAAAATATAACTCTTAGATTAATTTCCTCTCACTTGATTAAATTCCAAATTTTCTCTCACTTGATTAATCTAAGGATTATATTTTAACCCTCTCATCTCTCATAATAAATTCCCTCTCACTTATATGCTCCCTATATATATACCTCAAATATAAGTAAATATCAACTATATATACCTCAAATATAAGTAAATATTAACTAATTTAAGTCTCTGTAATATTGTTATTTTAGTATATGCAATATACATACTGAATATTTATTATACATAACTAAAATTTATAATAAATTATACATAAAAATAAATAATGTGTTTAAATATATAATTAAACTTAAATTTTATGTAAATGGATATTTTAAACATATAAATTATTGTTTGTAATAACTGTAACATAAATTATATTTTAAACTTATGATAAATAATTTATACTGTTGCATAATATTTTTTATTAATTTTAAAGATATTAAAATTTAATTCATAAAAAATTATGATAAATAAAAAATTTAGATAAAAGGTTAAAAGATATCTAAAAATGAAAATTTTATAAACACATTATCACAAAAGATAAAAGTTTGTGTCTAATATATATATATATATATATGAATAAGAGTTGATTGTCATCTCTAAAATACTACTTCATTTAATTGAAACTAGCATTTTAACATGTGTAATGCACAAATTAAATGTTTATTATGTATAACTAAATTTAAAATAAACTATGTACATAAATAAATATTGTGTTTGAATATATAAAATATATTTAAATTTTGAATAAATATTTTTAAATATATAAATTATATTTTAGATTTATGATAAATAATTTATATCATATAACAATATTATTTTTGTTATTTGTAATTTATCTTGAAATATTAACATTTAATTTTAAATAATTATGATAAATAAAAATTGAATTGGATACAAAGTTAAAAGAATCTACAAAAATCTTCTAGTAAAAAAAATCCTAAAAATGCTCTATGATAAAAATAGTCATTTATATTTTATATATAGGAGTCGAGGAATAAATATAGTATTTTTAATTATTGATGATTATTTTTAAAATATTAAATTTTAATTTATAATAAGTATGATGAGTAAAAATTGAATTAGATGAGAAGTTAAAAAGAAAAAATTCAATACTTTAACCTCTAAAATCGTGTTTTTGTATATGATAGTAGTTTGTGCTTAATATACAGGAGTCTAATTGTATTTTCAATCTCTTTTCATTTTTACTATCAAATTTCAAGAAAAGATAGTTTAGTAAAATAAGTTATTATTTAAATAAGATTAACAAAATTAAATTATATAAATAACTTTTTCTTAATTAGTATGACTATATTTTTTTCATATTCATAATTGAATATAATATTTATTACTACATTAATAACATTAAGTGTCACATAAATATATATATATATATATATATATATATATATATATATATCATTAATATGGGTAAATGAATTTTTCATTAAATATAATTGAGTGCATTAAATAATTAACCCCAGTATCTTTCCTCAACCACTAGAATAATCCTAGTTAATTGCAATTTAAGTTTTTTATATAAATTAAAGACAATAATAAATATATCATTATTTTTACAAAACTTTACTAATATATCCCCCACCTTAATATAAGCATTAGGATTTATGATTTAAGATTTTTATACATATAGATTCAAGACAACAATACATATATCACATTTTTACAAAATTTTACCATTTCTCAATGTATGCATCACTTTAACTGTAGTGGTTGAATAACTTATAAATTAGTAAATTTAAAAAAATCAATTAATATCATATTAGAAAGTAATAAGGGCATCTCCAATGGAAGTAACTCATTTGAGTTGCTTCATGCATTGAAAAATGAAAAAAGTGGTCCCTAGTGTGTCATATCAGCATTAAGTAACTTAAACACAAATTTACTTCAATGATAAGAAACTTTAAGAAATTCAACTATTAATTTTTTTTTAATCATTTATGAACCAAATTTAAATTTTTATTAAAAAAGATAATTGCGCTACAACGAAAGAAAATAAATTACGAGAAAAATACACAATAAGTAGATATTAAAAATAAAATAAAACAATAATAAATACATAAATATTATACGAAATTAATTTTCATCATTATTATTTCCGAAACGTTTCCAAATATGTTCAATAAAATCTGCTTAAAATCTGGTAAGGAACGATTGCTTGAGGAAGCAACTCTCTCTCTCTTCTTCAAGCAACTCAGAGTCCTCCAATGGTAAGAAATCGGGACTTGAGTTGCTTCATAGGACAAGCAACTCCCATTGGAGTTGCTCTAACATCACTCATTTTAAAATATTTTTAAAATGCTAAATTTGTACTCATTTTGGAAGGAGTATAAGAGTAGTGAGTAACAAGATTTGAATTGATTGATATAATATTGTCTCTAAAATATCAATCTCTTATATGAGTCTAAAAACAAATATTTGTTAAACCCTAAAAAAATATTTATTTAAAAAGAAAAACCTCTTAAATAAATTTTAATATTCCAAAATATTAGTCATTAACTATCATGCATATGTAGGGAATATTCTAATATAAAAATAAATTAAAAGAAATGCCACGATAATTGTAAAGTTCAGGTTCAATTAAGAATGAATGTTAGTACAAGTATAATTTATATAGAGTGAGGGATCACATAAATCAAAAGTTTGCATATGAAATAATTAAAATTATTGTAAAATAATAATATAAGTTCTATGAAAGTAATAATTAATTATTAAGTTTAATTGTGAAAGTTAACAAGAGAGACGAATGAAAATTTTTGAGAGACTAAAATCGATAATTTTTTTCTTCAAGAGACTAAAATTATAAATCATATTAAAATAATAATTCATTTCATAATTTACCTTTTATTTCAATTGTGAACCCACCACAAAAGTGATGTAATTTTTTTAAAATTTCACGTGGCAAGATGTCACGAAATCACTAACAATGAAGCTTAACTACAAAAAATAAAAATACAAATAAAAATTAATAAAAAAATACGATTGATCAAATTATTTTTGAGGAATAAAAAAAATCGAAAAACTTCATAAGTAAAAATTATAAGTATGAATCATCAAAATTTATAATTTTAATAAATTTTGAATAAAAAAAATGAAAGAATGAATGAATGAGATAATTAACAAATAATATCATCCAATGGAAAATGTCAAAAAAACTGAATTAAAATGTTACAAAATCAAGAATTACTATTTTAAAATCTTAATTAAAGTATATTTATTATATTTTCTATCATTTTTTCATCAATATATTTTTTATCATTTTTTT